TCAACGGACAGAAACAGAGGTAAATAGAGACCGACAGACGGATAGGCAGAAACGGAGGTAACGAGAGACAGACAGACGGACAGAAACATAGGTAAAGGGAGACCGACAGACGGATAGACCGTCAGACGGATAGACAGACACAGAGATTAAGGGAGACCGACAGACGGATAGAAGAAACAGCAGTAAAGGGAGACCGATTGAAGGATAGACAGAAACAGCGGTAAAGGGAGACCGATTGAAGGATAGACAGAAACAGCGGTAAAGGGAGACCGATTGAAGGACAGAAACAGAGGTAATGGGAGACCGAGAGACGGATAGTCAGAAACAGCGGTAAAGGGAGACAGACAGACGGATACCCAGACCCAGACGTAAAAGGAAACTAACAGACCGATACACCGAATCAGAAGTAAAGGGAGACTGACAGACAGATAGACAGAAACAACGGTAAAGGAATGCTGAAAGTCGGATCAACAGAAAAAGAAGTAAAGGGAGACTGACAGACGGATAGACAGACACAGAGATAAATGGAGACCGACAGACTGGTAGAAAGAAAAAGAGGTAAAGGGAGACCGACAGACAGATAGACAGACATAGCTGTGATCCTCATAAACTACATGACAAACACCGCGTCAGTCATTTTGTATAATCTGATAATGCAGCTTACGTTTTTCCATGGTCGCTGCATCAGATAAAAACACGTAATTATAGGACATAAATCAACGCATATATATTGTTCTAACAGATTCGCATATACATACACTCAACTGAACACCAACTAACGAATGTAAATGCAGATTTGATCGTCACACACGACAGGTAGGAAATCTCGTCAGCTTGTAGTTGTTATGAGCCATTATGAGAGCACCCAATACAAGCGGGTAGTGACACTTCATATTTGTCAGTTCATCTTGCAGTGCAACTGGTATCAATCTGGTAAGAGAGGTTATATTAATATCAGAGAGTAAGGGAGACCGACAGCCGGATAGAAGAAACAGCAGTAAAAGGAGACAGACAGACGGATACACAGACACAGATTGTGTACATTGTGTTCTCAACTTTTGGTATAAAGTATATAAATAGCTTACTCTTTGGTTCAGAGCGTGTTTTAAATATGATTCTGAAATATTTTGTCTTCAGCAGATACGCAACTTAGTTCGAGCTTATTCATCACAGTCGCTAGATCTGAGAATAATGAACTTGGTTTCCGTTTAAATTCGTATGTTGTTATAAATCAAAATTTATATCTACACTGCAATAATGAATAAGAGCTACTGTAAAATCGATTATATTGCACTTGCATGACCGTGTATGTCTGCCTTGATATCTTGTACATGCAACTCTTGTACGTACATTGTGGTATCTTGGTAGTACATTGTGGTATCTTGGTACGTACATAGTGGTATCTTGGTACGTACAGAGTGGTATCTTGGTAGTACATTGTGGTATCTTGGTACGTACAGAGTGGTATCTTGGTACGTACAGAGTGATAACATGGTACGTACATAGTTGTATCTTGGTGTGTACAGAGTGATATCTTGTTACTACAGAGTGGTAACTTGTACGTATAGAGTGATATCTTGGTACGTACATAATTGTATCTTGGTACGTACAGAGTGATCACATGGTACGTACAGAGTAATATCTTGGTACTACAGAGAGGTAACTTGTACGTACAGAGTGATATCTTGGTATGTACAGAGTGATATCTTGGTACTACAGAGTGATATCTTGGTACGTACAAAGTCTTATATTGATACGTACAGAGTAATATCTTGGTATGTACATAGTGATATCTTGGTACGTACAGAGTGATATCTTGGTACTACAGAGTGATATCTTGGTACTACAGAGTGATATCTTGGTACGTACAGAATGATATCTTGGTACGTACATAGTTGTATCTTGGTTCGTACAGAGTAATATCTTGGTACTACAGAGTGATATCTTGGTACTACAGAGTGATATCTTGGTACGTACAGAGTGATATCTTGGTATGTACAGAGTGATATATTGGTACTACAGAGTGATATCTTGGTACGTACAGAGTGATATCTTGGTATGTACAGAGTGATATCTTGGTACTACAGAGTGATATCTTGGTACGTACAGAGTGATATCTTGGTATGTACAGAGTGATATCTTGGTACTACAGAGTGATATCTTGGTACTACAGAGTGATATCTTGGTACTACAGAGTGATATCTTGGTACTACAGAGTGATATCTTGGTACTACAGAGTGATATCTTGGTACTACAGAGTGATATCTTGGTACTACAGAGTGATATCTTGGTACTACAGAGTGATATCTTGGTACTACAGAGTGATATCTTGGTACTACAGAGTGATATCTTGGTACTACAGAGTGATATCTTGGTACTACAGAGTGATATCTTGGTACTACAGAGTGATATCTTGGTACTACAGAGTGATATCTTGGTACTACAGAGTGATATCTTGGTACTACAGAGTGATATCTTGGTACTACAGAGTGATATCTTGGTACTACAGAGTGATATCTTGGTACTACAGAGTGATATCTTGGTACTACAGAGTGATATCTTGGTACTACAGAGTGATATCTTGGTACTACAGAGTGATATCTTGGTACTACAGAGTGATATCTTGGTACTACAGAGTGATATATTGGTACTACAGAGTGATATCTTGGTACTACAGAGTGATATCTTGGTACTACAGAGTGATATCTTGGTACTACAGAGTGATATCTTGGTACTACAGAGTGATATCTTGGTACTACAGAGTGATATCTTGGTACTACAGAGTGATATCTTGGTACTACAGAGTGATATCTTGGTACTACAGAGTGATATCTTGGTACTACAGAGTGATATCTTGGTACTACAGAGTGATATCTTGGTACTACAGAGTGATATCTTGGTACTACAGAGTGATATCTTGGTACGACAGAGTGATATCTTGGTACTACAGAGTGATATCTTGGTACTACAGAGTGATATCTTGGTACTACAGAGTGATATCTTGGTACTACAGAGTGATATCTTGGTACTACAGAGTGATATCTTGGTACTACAGAGTGATATCTTGGTACTACAGAGTGATATCTTGGTACTACAGAGTGATATCTTGGTACTACAGAGTGATATCTTGGTACGTACAGAGTGATATCTTGGTACGTACAGAGTGATATCTTGGTACTACAGAGTGATATATTGATACGTACAGAGTAATATGTTGTTACTACAGAGAGGTAACTTGGAATTGTGTTGGCATTATTTTCAAATGCCTTAGTTATTGGAAAACAAGATTCTTTATTCCCAATAATGTCCTTAAATGACCTTGGCTGTTAATAGGACGTTAAACAAAATTAAACCAAACATGTTTCACGAGAGCAGAGCCCTAATTAAACCTTATTAATCACTTCCAGTGTGACGACTAAACTAAAACACAGAAGGAAAAACCAAGTTCATTTCCACGTTATTTATTACATGTAATCCAAGCAGACACGATGTTATATATGCAAAGTATATATAGGATATTACATGAGTTTCCATTGGTTTTGTTTTTGCCACAAATCTTGGTTATGTGATAAAAAGGATCTCACACTCGTCTTCATGTCAAATGAAATTTATGAAACTCGTCAGGAATTTTTCTATTTAGCGAGCCTTTATTTACCAAGATTTGTGGCATTTATTCGTGTAAAACGACAATTTTCATGCAACCTTGAACTTTAAAAAGCTGCCATTTTGACTCAAGTGTGTAAGCCTGTGACGTCATGTACTTGTCCTAGGCGTGACGTCACAATTGAAACAATTGAAGCTTACAACCAATCACAGGGCTGAGAGGTCATATTACATGGGTTAATACGCAAAAAAATATGACATGGGTATATTCACTGGATAACATTATGTGATAAATTTACATATTTATTGTACTTGTTGACGGTAAGGATCATTTTTTGTTTTCTCGAGATTTATCATGTTTCACCATGGTGTGGTGGAGTGACACTTTTACACAACAGGAGTCCTTTATTTCAAATTCATTCAAAAACATTTTTAACTTTGTGCACAGATATATCAGGATGTACACTTGACAATCCTATGACGTATACTTATATTTATAAAATATTCCAAATCAGGCTATCCTTTGCATTTGTTAAACGTATTAATGCATACGTTTAAACCAGGTTGAATGCATCTGTGATTTAATTTTGAATATGGATAAGACAACGATCGATATCACAATGAATAGATATTTAAGTTATGTGTACGGCAGGTGTACTGATTTTAAGATTAAATTCATACAATGTACGGAATACATGTTAGCAGTCGATGTAAAGCACAGACATTTTGGAACGCCTGTCTACTTGATGTCAGTCGGATTCTTTCTACGATAAGTGATACAGAGTTTATGGGAGTTATGGTAACGTATTGTTCTTATATATCATGTTTCCATCGATCGACCCATTAGGAGACAGGCAGACACATACATATACCGTGTGGTATTTATCATTATGACTAGACTTTCCCTTGACAAGCCTTGTCTCGCCTTAACATTGCGATAATAACTTGACTGACGATAATTGGAAATTATAGAGTAAAGACTTGTACAGTTGTCTATTTTACGAGTTTTATAATAATCATACATACATTTATACATAAAACATAATAAATATATTAATAAGCAGGACATCGATCTTGGATATTGATCTTCTGAATTGATAAAGTAATACATTTAACAAGCCAAATTAATTCGTTTTCTGTTTCGAAATGGAATTGCGTATCTAGTGTGCATGTGTTGGTCTCTCTTAATATTGTTGAGACAGTAGTATGTTTCTGTTCTCCCGTACTGATTATTTTATTTCATCAGAGAAAGGATATATATTTTCTGTTTTATTCTTTCTTCCCTCCATGTTTAAATTATTTCATCTGTCACATTCTACAGTAAAGACTGCATGGCATTAATTTGAGATAGATAATAGTTTATTTAGCAAGAACCTCTCTATATACTTAGAAACTCAGGTTTACATATCCTACATATATAGTTTAATTTTATTGGAAACAACAAACATAAAAAAAGAGGTAAAGGGAGACCAACAGACGGAGAGACATAAGAAAAAGTAAAAGTAAACTGACAAACGGATAGACGCACACAGAGATAAAGGGAGCCAGACTGACAGATAGAGAGAAACAGCAGTAAAGGGAGACCGACAGATAGATATACAGAAACAGCGGTAAAGGGAGACAGACACTCGGAAAGACAGAAACAGCGGTAAAGGGAGACGGCCAGATAGATATACAGAAACAGTGGTAAAGGGAGACAGACACTCGGAAAGACAGAAACAGCGGTAAGGGGAGACCGACAGATAGATATACAGAAACAGCGATAAAGGGAGACCAATCGACGGACAGAAACAGAGATAAAGGGAGACAGACACACGGAAAGACAGAAACAGCGGTAAAGGGAGACGGCCAGATAGATATACAGAAACAGTGGTAAAGGGAGACAGACACTCGGAAAGACAGAAACAGCGGTAAAGGGAGACGGCCAGATAGATATACAGAAACAGCGGTAAAGGGAGACAGACACTCGGATAGAAAGAAACATAGGTAAAGGGAGACCGACAGATCGATAGACAGAAACAGCGGTAAAGGGAGCCAGACAGACGGAAAGACAGAAACAGCAGTAAAGGGAGCCAGACAGACGGAAAGACAGAAACAGCAGTAAAGGGAGCCAGACAGACGGATAGACAGAAACAGCAGTAAAGGGAGCCAGACAGACGGATAGACAGAAACAGCAGTAAAGGGAGACCGACAGATCGATAGACAGAAACAGCGATAAAGGGAGACCAATCGACGGACAGAAACAGAGGTAAAGGGAGACAGACACTCGGAAAGACAGAAACATAGGTAAAGGGAGCCAGCCAGAAGGAGAGACAGAAACATAGGTAAAGGGAGCCAGCCAGAAGGATAGACAGAAACAGAGGTAAAGGGAGACAGACACTCGGATAGAAAGAAACCTAGGTAAAGGGAGTCAGCCAGAAGGTAGACAGAAACATAGGAAAAGGGAGCCAGCCAGACGGATAGACAGAAACAGAGGAAAAGGGAGCCAGACAGACGGATAGACCGAAACAGAGGTAAAGGGAGCCAGACAGACGGATAGAGAGAAACAGCAGTAAAGGGAGACCGACAGATCGATAGACAGAAACATAGGTAAAGGGAGACCAATCGACGGACAGAAACAGAGGTAAAGGGAGACAGACACTCGGATAGAAAGAAACATAGGTAAAGGGAGTCAGCCAGAAGGTAGACAGAAACATAGGTAAAGGGAGCCAGCCAAAAGGATAGACAGAAACAGAGGTAAAGGGAGACTGATATACAGACAGAAACAGAGGGAAAGGGAGACAGACACTCGGATTGACATAAACATAGGTAAAGGGAGACTGACAGCCAGATAGACAGAATCAGAGGTAAAGAGAGACGGACAGACAGACATACAGAAACAGCGCTAAATGGAGACAGATCGACGGACAGAAACAGAAGAAAAGGGAGACAGACACTCGGATAGACATAAACATAGGTAAAGGGAGACTGACAGACAGATAGATAGAAACAGAGGTAAAGGGAGACGGATATACAGACAGAAACAGAGGTAAAGGGAGACAGACACTCGGATAGACAGAAACAGAGGTAAACGGAGCCAGACAGACAGAGAGACAGAAACAGAGGTAAAGGGAGCCAGACAGACGGATAGACAGAAACAGAGGTAAAGGGAGACGGACAGACAGATAGACAGAAACATAGGTAAAGGGAGACTGACAGACAGATAGACAGAAACAGCGGTAAAGGGAGACCGATCGACGGACAGAAACAGAGGTAAAGGGAGACAGACACTCGGATAGACAGAAACAGAGGTAAAGGGAGCCAGACAGACGGCTAGACAGAAACAGAGGTAAAGGGAGCCAGACAGACAGAGAGACAGAAACAGAGGTAAAGGGAGACGGACAGACGGATAGACAGAAACAGAGGTAAAGGGAGACGGACAGACAGATAGACAGAAACAGAGGTAAAGGGAGACGGACAGACAGATAGACAGAAACAGCGCTAAATGGAGACAGATCGACGGACAGAAACAGAAGAAAAGGGAGACAGACACTCGGATAGACAGAAACAGAGGTAAAGGGAGCCAGACAGACAGATAGACAGAAACAGAGGTAAAGGGAGACGGACAGACAGATAGACAGAAACAGAGGTAAAGGGAGACGGACAGACAGATAGACAGAAACAGAGGTAAAGGGAGACCGATCGACGGACAGAAACAGAAGAAAAGGGAGACAGACAGTCAGATAGACAGAAACAGAGGTAAAGGGAGACCGATCGACGGACAGAAACAGAAGAAAAGGGAGACAGACACTCGGATAGACAGAAACAGAGGTAAAGGGAGACCGATCGACGGACAGAAACAGAAGAAAAGGGAGACAGACACTCGGATAGACAGAAACAGAGGTAAAGGGAGACCGATCGACGGACAGAAACAGAAGAAAAGGGAGACAGACACTCGGATAGACAGAAACAGAGGTAAAGGGAGACCGATCGACGGACAGAAACAGAAGAAAAGGGAGACAGACACTCGGATAGACAGAAACAGAGGTAAAGGGAGACCGATCGACGGACAGAAACAGAAGAAAAGGGAGACAGACACTCGGATAGACAGAAACAGAGGTAAAGGGAGACCGATCGACGGACAGAAACAGAAGAAAAGGGAGACAGACACTCGGATAGACAGAAACAGAGGTAAAGGGAGACGGACAGACGGATAGACAGAAACAGAGGTAAAGGGAGACGGACAGACAGATAGACAGAAACAGAGGTAAAGGGAGACGGACAGACAGATAGACAGAAACAGCGCTAAATGGAGACAGATCGACGGACAGAAACAGAAGAAAAGGGAGACAGACACTCGGATAGACAGAAACAGAGGTAAAGGGAGACGGACAGACGGATAGACAGAAACAGAGGTAAAGGGAGACGGACAGACAGATAGACAGAAACAGAGGTAAAGGGAGACGGACAGACAGATAGACAGAAACAGCGCTAAATGGAGACAGATCGACGGACAGAAACAGAAGAAAAGGGAGACAGACACTCGGATAGACAGAAACAGAGGTAAAGGGAGACAGACAGACGGATAGACAGAAACAGAGGTAAAGGGAGACGGACAGACAGATAGACAGAAACAGAGGTAAAGGGAGACGGACAGACAGATAGACAGAAACAGCGCTAAATGGAGACAGATCGACGGACAGAAACAGAAGAAAAGGGAGACAGACACTCGGATAGACAGAAACAGAGGTAAAGGGAGCCAGACAGACGGATAGACAGAAACAGAGGTAAAGGGAGACGGACAGACAGATAGACAGAAACAGAGGTAAAGGGAGACGGACAGACAGATAGACAGAAACAGCGCTAAATGGAGACAGATCGACGGACAGAAACAGAAGAAAAGGGAGACAGACACTCGGATAGACAGAAACAGAGGTAAAGGGAGCCAGACAGACGGATAGACAGAAACAGAGGTAAAGGGAGACGGACAGACAGAGAGACAGAAACAGAGGTAAAGGGAGCCAGACAGACGGATAGACAGAAACAGAGATAAAGGGAGATTGATAGATGGATAGACAGGAACAGACGTAAAGGGAGACTGACAGACAGATAGACAGAAACAGAGGTAAAGGGAGTCTGACGTTTTGTCTATCAGCATATTTTATTATGCGTGGTCAGGGTAATTAAAGTTAAATCGGTTATAGTTTTATAGGTCACTTACCTATCGTCTAAAGTACCAAATGAATTTAACATATTTTAGATCAGGTCTATTTTCCTTGAACGCTTACTTCCGCGACCTTGGTTATCACATTCTTGATTAATGCTGAATGAGGATAGTTGGTATAACAATGATTTGATATTTCTATAACAGGTTTGCTCAGTAGAAGATTGACTTCCTACAATACACGGAATTCATGCCAGCGATGTAAATGACACATTGTTTGATGCTATAAAAGTTCAGGTGTAAGATGGAGACAGAAAAGGAGAAAGGTAGGACTACAAACCATTATATAACACTGTCATTTCTGACGCTGATAACAAGCTCCATTATTCTAACAAATTTCCAACATACTGAAAATATGATATCGCTAACAATAAGACAAAATCTTAAATTGAACTAGCGTCTTAGCAAATGATGCGCTCAGATCATAATAAATTTTACAATTCAATCTAAATTGCCGCGGTAGGGGGAAGGTGTTGCTCCATGTTTTTGGTTTCATTTATTGAGTATTACAAAAACTAAGTGTAATTGCTTAATAGACAATTAACTAACTCGGAATTTGAAAAGGTTTGAAAATAGTTTAAACTTTTTTTGCATTATTCTTCAATGGGTTTTTTTCCCGTCTCCAAACATGAACATATATTGACTAGTTCTTGAATATAAGATACATTGTTTAGATGATGTCGAGGTAACTGTGGTTGAGAGATTCGTAGAGGAGACGAAGGACACGGACCAGATTCCCAGAGAGACATGGTCCAACAACATGGAATTCATCCTCGCTTGTGTCGGGATGGCTGTAGGTCTGGGTAATCTCTGGAGGTTTCCTTATCTGTGCTACAAAAATGGGGGAGGTTTGTTGTTGTTTTATTTCTACATATTTCCACAGAAAAAATCCGCTATTTTTAAGCATCATTTTACTTTTTGAAGCTTCAAACCGTTATGGTATTCGTTCAAATTTAACAAAATGCTAAAACATAAGAAAATAATTCTACTCTAATTTCGATTCAAAGGAATGTGATATATCCTATGTGTGAGCAAACTGATTTTGTTCCTGCATAAAATGATGTGTCTTTCTGTTTTTGACGTTTGTGTTAAAGGTGCCTTCCTCATACTCTTTATGACGTTTGTGTTTCAGGTACCTGCCTCATACCGTTTATGACGTTTGTGTTTCAGGTACCTGCCTCATTCCGTTTATGACGTTTGTGTTTCAGGTACCTGCCTCACACCGTTTATGACGTTTGTGTTTCAGGTACCTTCCTCTGTTAAAGGTGCCTTCCTCATACTCTTTATGACGTTTGTGTTTCAGGTACCTGCCTCACACCGTTTATGACGTTTTTGTTTCAGGTACCTGCCTCATACCGTTTATGACGTTTGTGTTTCAGGTACTTGCCTCATACCGGTTATGAAGTTTGTGTTTCAGGTACCTGCCTCATACCGTTTATGACGTTTGTGTTTCAGGTACCTGCCTCATACCGTTTCTGATGTTTGTGTTTCAGGTACCTGTTTCATACCGTTTATGACGTTTGTGTTTCAGGTACCTTCCTCATACCGTTTCTGACGTTTGTGTTTCAGGTGCCTTCCTCATACTGTTTCTGACGTTTGTGTTTAAGGCGCATTCCTCATTATGTTTAAGGCGCCTTCCTCATCCCGTTTATGCCGTTTGTGTTTCAGGTACCTGCCTCATACCGTTTCTGACGTTTGCGTTTAAGGTGCCTTCCTCATACCGTTTATGACGTTTGTGTTTCAGGTACCTGCCTCACACCGTTTCTGACGTTTCTGTTAAAGGTGCCTGCCTCATACTGTTTCTGACGTTTGTGTTTAAGGCGCATTCCTCATTATGTTTAAGGCGCCTTCCTCATCCCGTTTATGCCGTTTGTGTTTCAGGTACCTGCCTCATACCGTTTCTGACGTTTGCGTTTAAGGAGCCTTCCTCATACCGTTTATGACGTTTGTGTTTCAGGTACTTGCCTCATACCGTTTATGACGTTTGTGTTTCAGGTACTTGCCTCATACCGTTTATGACGTTTGTGTTTCAGGTACTTGCCTCATACCGTTTCTGACGTTTCTGTTAAAGGTGCCTGCCTCATACTGTTTCTGACGTTTGTGTTTAAGGCGCCTTCCTCATACCGGTTATGACGTTTGTGTTTCAGGTACCTGCCTCATACCGTTTATGACGTTTCTGTATAAGGTGCCTTCCTCATACCGTTTTCAGGTACTTGCCTCATGGTACCTTCCTCATACTGTTTCTGACGTTTGTGTTTAAGGCGCCTTCCTCATACCGGTTATGACGTTTGTGTTTCAGGTACCTGCCTCACACCGTTTCTGCCGTTTCTGTTAAAGGTGCCTTCCTCATACTGCTTCTGACGTTTGTGTTTAAGGTGCCTGCCTCATACCGTTTCTGACGTTTGTGTTTAAGGTGCCTTCCTCATACTGTTTCTGACGTTTGTGTTTCAGGTACCTGCCTCACACCGTTTCTGACGTTTCTGTTAAAGGTGCCTTCCTCATACTGTTTCTGACGTTTGTGTTTAAGGTGCCTGCCTCATACCGTTTCTGACGTTTCTGTATAAGGTGCCTTCCTCATACCGTTTCTGACGTTTGTGTTTAAGGTGCCTGCCTCATACCGTTTCTAACGTTTGTTTTTAAGGTGCCTTCCTCATACCGTTTCTGACGTTTGTGTTTAAGGTGCCTGCCTCATACCGTTTATGACATTTGTTTTTAAGGTACCTGGCTCACACCGTTTCTGACGTTTCTGTTAAAGGTGCCTTCCTCATACTGTTTCTGACGTTTGGGTTTCAGGTACCTGCCTCACACCGGTTCTGACGTTTCTGTTAAAGGTGCCTTCCTCATACTGTTTCTGACGTTTGGGTTTCAGGTACCTGCCTCACACCGTTTATGACGTTTCTGTATAAGGTGCCTTCCTCATACCGCTTCTGACGTTTGTGTTTAAAGTGCCTTCCTCATACCGTTTATGACATTTGTTTTTAAGGTCCCTGCCTCACACCGTTTCTGACGTTTCTGTTTAAGGTGCCTTCCTCATACCGTTTTTGACGTTTCTGGTGTTAGGAGGTGTACCCGTGTTTATGCTGGAGCTAGGCCTTGGACAGTACATGAGTCTGTCAGGATTTAAAACATGGAACATTTGTCCGGTGTTCCAAGGTAATCTTCTCTAAGTATACTACTTTGAAGCTGAGTTGACATGTTTATATCATTTATGCAATGATTTGCTTGGCTTTCTATCGACGCGATTCTCGGTGTTTTGATTCTTGTTGATATGTCATTGCTCATTGAAGAAATGAACTGCTTTAAGATATGATTTTTTATTGCGTTTTTAGAGAAAAAAAAATGCCTTTAGTGTTCTTACAAATTACAAAATAAATATTCCGTTGGTTCAACAATTATCATATCGAGGAAGTAAAAGTTTGTAATCACAAAGAAGAGTTAAACATCATTGTTATTTTTATCGACTTGAAGTATATTCCTTTTTTACATAGACAATGAAGCAACAAGTATTAATCATTTGTTGTTAGAAGTATCGCAAGATGATATCGATTTAAAATTTTATCTTTTTAAAGTTACTTTAACAAATAATTCGAAATAACGAAATGATAATTGTAACTTTACAGTACGCTTAACACAAGGCATCTAAAATGAGTCAGCGGGATAACAAATATCACATGAACAATTATTCATACATATATAGTAAGACACGCTTGCTCACTGAAATGCGAATTAAAGTACACTGGAAGAGGTACGGCAATGTCATTACACGAAATAAAGTCAGGTAATCCGCAGTATCATTTAAGTAATATAACAATTGCATGACCATCGTATTATGTAAAATCATATAATTTTGTATTTTATGATGTCAGAATGAAATAAACACGAACGACGTCACAGACGGTAGTAGGACGTTCCATTGAATAAAGAAATGAATGAAGACATATCGTGCAAATTTGCATCAGGTTTTTTTCTCATTTAACATCATACACACAACCATGTAGTTCTTCAGGATTGATCAATTTATAATCAATTTAACAAAATCAATAAATGAATAATGCCATTGTTATATCTTTTCATAATCAGTAGTCAGTATACTAAAAACCTAACGCTGTTTTTCATATTTACCACTGTAGGTATAGGAATATCAAACTTTGTCACGGTCTTCCTCTCGAACATCTATTACATCATGGTATTAGCGTGGTCTGCCTACTATTTTGTGATAAGTCTGAAAGCGGTCCTTCCTTGGTCTAACTGCAACAATGATTGGAACACACCCAGGTATTTTGCATCTGGGTATCAAACTACTAATGTCGTTTATGTTCCCGTTGACAGTATTTCTTATACATGAACGCATCGTGAAAGTTTGTTCAGTAAATTCCGTATTGTTCACTGTATCGTCGATTTTTATTGGTTCGATATTTTCCTAGATTTGATCAGGGACAGTATATAGAGGGGATTGGCAACTCTGCCCCAGTCAAGATTCTATAGCACGTCGCTTTTGTGTTTGTTCACCGAACCGCGAAGTCATCGAGAGCCCCTCTCGATCAGCCTGCGCTTGCGCACTAGCGTTAAAATTAAGCACACACCTGCTTTCGGTGTCATGTCACAATCTCGCCGAGATCGAAGTGTTTTGATAACGGTTAGCCCTAATTGCGACTGTGTATTAGTAGGTCTTCTTTTTATTCCAGGGACAGGGCTATCGTTGCCACTATGTCTAGCCTTTCGGCTGTGTTGGTGGCTATTACAACAAATCACATTTCGTAAAGCACGTTACAGTGAAAATAATGCTAATATTGACACTTTTTGACACAAAAACAGCACAAGTTATTTGTTATTTTTTGCCATAAAAATTAGTACTACATATCAAAAAATTATTCAACTTTCTATCGCTGTAAATTTC